TCCAGGCACGACGCCACCTCCAGGTACGACGCCACCTCCAGGCACGACGCCACCTCCAGGCACGACGCCACCTCCAGGCACGACGCCACCTCCAGGCAGGACGCCACCTCCAGGAAGGACGCCACCTCCAGGAAGGACGCCACCTCCGGGACGGAGACCTGTTGAACCATGTAGAATAAGTTTGATTTTTTTTTTAAATCGAGGTGCAGATAGTGTTAAATAAGAAGAAAAGAAAAAGACAAGATCAAATGTTTCCCATTCTGTCCTTTCACCTCCACTGTTAGGTTAAGATGGTTTCACATAGGTGTCCTACTCCTGTTAAATCCCAGCTTAATAAGGAGATTTTTTTTTAAAAAAATCCTAAAATGGCGGCATATCTCCTTTGCTCTTGCTTTTAATTTCTTTCTGCCTTATCCCTCTTTGTAACTGATTCATACATGGATACTGATACTGTGTTAAAAAGCTGTGCTTTTTATGCAACCAAGTTTCCTTTGCCTCATCATTCTGACTCAGGCAGGCGGTCACTTGATATGGTCATTATCAGTGGGTTTGGAGCAGGGATGGGATTCTCTAGGTAGTTCTGACAATCAGCTGTGAGCTCCCGCCCCTGCGCTTTACCTACTTTTATCTTCTCCGCTGAGTCACGTGACTCAGAGTGGATTGCGATGCCTCACCTGTTTTCCTTCCCAAACAACAATCTGGAAAGTGAGTATTCTCTGAACTGTGCATGCATGCGCAGCGAACCAGTTGTTAAACCGATAGGATCCCGCCCCTGGTTTGGTGTCTATGCAAACCAGATTTTCCCATCTCTTCCTCCACCAATGAAATAATGACCAATGAGGAACTCTCTTAGTGATGTGATACAGCCACCCCAACTGTAAGATATTCAAGGGTAAGATATATAAAGGAATGACTCCATACAAAAAATAAATTAAGTTTTAATTTCAATAAGATAAGAAATTAATTACCATTGCCACTAATAATGTTCCCTGCCGGTCATTTCCAAAAGCAATGATTCAGTTGCAAATTTTAGGTGATACTGGGAACCCCATTCAAAACTTTCAGAAGTTTACATGCAGCCATATGGTGGCCTTAAGGTGTGCACTTTCCCTATATAGGGCATCAAAATAAAATCCCAATTTCTGCCCTTGCCGAACTCAGAAATGGCACTGTGGAATAGGGGAACCCATAATTGATCTTGGTAAGTTGGCATTTATCTTGAAAAGGCCCAGAGCCTTTTGTTAAATGGGCTACAAAGAGAGAAAATTCTATTTCCCAAGGAAAACTATCAGGTAAAAATAGATGCAGACCAAACTCACCGTATTTGGCTGCTTTAGCAGCTGCTTTCGCTGCTGCAGCTGCCCCAGGAACTAGCAGAAAGAAGAGCAGAAGAATTAAACAGTCAGAATGGAAGCAAAGTTCAGATCTCCAATATCTCATTAAAGCAGCGTTTCTCAATTTGGCAACTTTAAGATGTGTGAACTTCAACTCCCAGAATTCCCCAGCCAGCATCCAGGTGGATGGACTCACTTACAGTGGTGATGAGTGAACTGTCAGAAGATCTGGAAGAACCACATCTGTGTGGTTGCTAGTGGTTGCTAACAGTTGACACCAGCCTGATGGCACACAATCGATCAAAGCTGGCAGGGAATAGCTGCAGAAGGCAGCATCTGGAAGTAACTTATGGAACCTGCACAAAATATTATTTTCCTCCCAAGTGGTAAAAATAGTAGGAAGCATGGCTATGTAAAAACACAACGAACAGAAGCATCAGAGAACTTTTAGCACATTCATTTGGGACCGACTTTTAGCACATTCATTTGGGACCGATTTTGCCCTATAACTCTGTTCCATTTTAAATGGACTGGTAGCTATGTTTTTGTCTTGTCTTTTGTTTTGTCATGATTTAGTTTGGTTTGATTTTACATAGCCATGCTTCCTACTATTTTTACCACTTGGGAGGAAAATAATATTTTGCATGCTCTAAAGCGATTGTGCAGGTTCCATAAGTTACTTCCAGATGCTGCCTTCTGCAGCTATTCCCTGCCAGCTTTGATCGATTGTGTGCCATCAGGCTGGTGTCAACTGTTAGCAACCACTAGCAACCACACAGATGTGGTTCTTCCAGATCTTCTGACAGTTCACTCATCACCACTGTAAGTGAGTCCATCCACCTG